TGAGCATCTCTCCAGGGCCCTTTTATGAGCAATTGGATCCAACATATACTGAGCACACAGGACATCCTGGACATGGAGCCAGGCGGCAGGGAGCAAATATGCACAAGGCAGGCCCTGCAAAGCTGTGCTGGTCACTGTCTTCTCTATCTATGGAATACTGTCCTCAGAAAACAGGATTAGGGTAGAGCGCCCAAAGCCTAAAATGAAATGTTAAGGGCTGCTGGAATGAAGTTCAGTAAGGTTCATGAAAGATAAAATGAGAAAAAAAAATGACAGAGGAAGAATAAAAATCAGACAAAAGTTCAAGGTAGCCTGGCCGGCATGGCTCAGTGGTTGAGCATCAACCTTAATCAGGGCATATGCCAGGTTCGATTCTTAATCAGGGCATATGCCAGGGTTGTGGACTCGATCCCCAGTGTGGGGCATGCAGGATTCTCTCTCATCATTGATGTTTTCTCTCCTCTCTCTCTCTCTCTTTCTCTCTCTCTCTCTCTCTCCCTCCCCCTCCCTGCCTCTCTGAAATCAATAAAAAAGATATATAGAAAATTCAAGGTAGTTCATACACCACATTATCATCAGAACTTTTCACAGGAATGTTTGGTCTTTGTTCAAGGCGAAAAAGAAAAAGAAGGGCTAGATAAACATGGCAGGCAGCACCTGAACCACACAAATATGACTCCTGAGGATTAAGTGTGATCGAGTCATTGATTCGGTCTTCAAATCTTTATGTCTCTGGAAGCAAAAGGCTCATGTTTCCACAATGCATGCTCATCGTTGTCACTTGGTGTGTGGCCGCGGGCTGTCTAGGGTGCTGCCCAAACGAGGGACCTTGTCTGAGGTCAACAGTGGTAACGTAGGGATGCAGGCCATCAGGGTTCATTACAGTGCAGGATGCCGGCATGCTCTGACTTTCCTCAAAGACTGTGTGAGACCCTTGGCAGCCGCATGTCTCAGAGAGACAGCTTTCACAAGGGCCAGCCTTGGCTGGGTGGCCCATTGGTTGGAGCATCGGCCCGTACACCAAAGGGTTGCGGGTTCGATTCCTAGACAGGGAACATACCTAGGTTGCGAGTTTGATCCCTGGTCTGGGTGCGTATGATCGATGTTTCCCTCCCTCCCTTCTTCCTTTCCTCTCTCTCTAAAAAAACAAACAAAGAATAAATATAGCCTCGTGTGAGGATTAAAAAAAATGGCAAGAGCCATTATGTCTCCAGCTTCACTCTCTTCTCTGCTGGACATCCCTTTTTCCAGCAATATGACTGCAGTCTACCTCACAGACCCCACAGGTTCCCTCCTCTGGGGCCTGGTCTCCAGCCTCCCTCAGGGTGGCCAGCCCTCTGCTCTCCCTTTCCCTCCACTTTTAAGTAAACTGCTCCACGGTGGCCTGTCTCCAGCCCAGAGCTCCCTCGGTGACCACAGGCCTGCCTTTGGGAAGAAGACCTGACAGGATGGTTCAGGATATTGTCATGTGGGGCTAAAAAAGTAGAGATAACGCTGCTGAAATCAAGCACCGTCCCCCTCTAGCACCTGCTTGCTCCCCACAGCACTGGGAGGTGAGGCTGCCAGTCCAGCAGTCCAGCTCCAGGTGACAGCTGCCCAGCTGGGTGCACTGCAGGAGGGGGGGGGGGGTGGGCTGTAACTGCAGACAGCCAGTTCTCACACCTGGGAAGGTTTCCTGATGTGTATCGGTCTGTTCCCTTCTTTAATTCTGTCCTGCACCTCCTCAGGGTTTTTCTGAGGAATGTTAATGACAGACTTTTCTTACTGGAACTCATTTGCTAAAATACCAGGCATGGGGGGGGGGGGGGGCGGGGGCGGGCGGGAAGTAGATCACAGGCCCTGGGTTACCCCTGGGGGGAAATTCTGAGGAGGCAAAGCAGGTTTCCTTGCATACAGGCATCTCCTGGGCTTGGTCTGGGCACTTCCGGCCAGAAACTACTATTGCCTAAGCAAATACAAGAGAAAAGTGCTAACTGGCCACACCACCATCTAAAAGTCGTTCAATAGGGAAGTCTGCTCTTTGCAACCTGAAAATTCCGAGTCGCGTGGAGGAGAATATCCTTCAGGGCTGCCGAGGACAGAGCACTGGATCAAGTGCTGTGCTTCTTAAAATTCACTTTATAAAGCAGCACCAGGAGGACTTTCCAAGGACGCCAGACAAGAGCTTGTTCTACCACACCCGGTATTAGCTACCAGTTGTTTGCAAAAAGAATAAAAGTCCACCTGTGACTATAACTGAACTGACATAATTGTTCCACTCTCCCTGCACTCACCTGCTTTTCACAGCAAAATACAAAACCCGCCATACTCCCACAAAGGAGTTCCCGATGCTGGAGGCCCCAGCGCCCGCTCTGAGCCGCTGCCTGGAGGGGAGGCAGCCAGTGCTGGCAGCCCAGGCCCAGGGCTGTGTGTGCTCATACTGGCCAGGCCTCCAGGGAGTCTTGGATATGTTGGACGTGCTCCTGAGAGCACAAAGCAACTACTTCGCTTTTTCTAAGGCCACAGACTTTAGAGCCACTGTTCTTATCTGTTTCTGATCACAGAATTGAAACACACACACACACACACACACACACACACACACACACACACTGTAGGATCTGCCAAAACCCATGATCCATATTCCAGAATGATACACAAAGTACCTTCATGCACATGTATTTGAATAAATGCTCTCAAGCCGGTGATGAACAACTCACCTGAGAAGGGTGGGAGGGGAGGGGAGGAGAGGGGAGATGGCCGCACCCCTCCATGCTGGAAATACACATGCCTCATCTTGGAGCAAAGAAAGGCAAAGTTTTCCCTATGAAATTTCTAGAAGCTTCTATCTTTGGACAAAAGAGTATTCATAAAAAACTCCAAATGAGGGCTGTTTACATACATGTCATGTAACAATCACCAGTAACACTCCCGAATTTTCAATGTAACTAAATGAAGGTTGAGCGAGTCGTAATTTAACATCTCCATATTCTAATTAGCATCTTTACACTTAAAAATCACACCTTCATGTCAGGCCTCAGACAAGTCGGTTCTTGTGTCTATGCCTTTACTGCCGGGGTGTCTTTAAACTGTTACCAAGACATTTTTTTGAAGTCTTTACAGCCCATCTCTTGGTGTGTTGGGAACCTGTGTCCGCCCCAGGTCAGGAGAAGAAAGGGGGTGTGAGCGAATACAAATGGAAAGGTGAGTTTGAGCTGGATTTTTTTTCTTAAAAGCAAAAACCAAAGCAACTAGGCACAATCAAATCCCAACAAGGAAAAATAAACATCAAAAAGAGAGTAAATTTTTTTTTTTTTTACTGTTCTGGCTGTGGAACAATTTTCAATTCAAGAGGGCCTAATTTCAAAAGCTATCACAAAAATATACATTTTTAAAATCAAAAGCTATTACAATTTAAAGGAATGTCTATCCTTATAACAATGCAGAGATAGTAGGTCCCCCGTTTATTTGAATCTGAGATGCCACCACATCTGAGAAAGATGCCATCTGAGAAAGAGCGTGCACTAAACTATGGCTTGCCAAAAGCTGTAAATCCATCCCAAGCTCCAAGACCTTAAGTTGGAAAAAAACCATGCATGCTTAAGGATGAAACAGAGGATTATCATCTCTGTTATAAAATCAGAAAAGAAATGCTGACAAGTGTTAAACAGCTCCCCTCCCAAATGACAAACCCATTTATACTGTCTTGTAAGTACTGCCCATTGGGGTAATAAAGTGAAGAATAAACCAGCGGGAATGATATATGGTTATGTCTTAACTGTTCATTTCCTACATAATGTGAAAAGCTATGTATTGCCTTTGTGTCATTTTTTGTGGTCACCTAAAACACTTTAATGTAAATGTGAAAATGGGGAAGATGAGTTACTATTTATTTAGACTGCCAGAATAGATGCATATTAAATTAAGTCATCACAGATCTTCTATGTAAAACCAGTCTTGACCACCTTAATGCCTTATACATGCCGATTCTCACCACTGTACTACCCAGTAAGGTAACAAACTGACAGGTTATTCCTCAATAAAGAGAACATACACTTCCGCCTTCCGAGAAGACAGAGAATTCAACTGTAATTCTTATAAATAAACATCTTGAAACCGTAAATCAGGAATCACTGTAATACTAAGTCAAAGGCAACTGGTAACCACCAGATAAAGATCTAGCCTCAGCCCCATTATCAGAATCTAACACAAGTCTCATAGGACACAGTTCAGGTCAGGTTCCTTACCTTAGTCCTTCTGAGGAGGACACCTGTTTTTCAACATGAGGGGCCCTTGACGTTACTACCTTTGGGGGTTTACCTCTCTTCAGTGGGGGCTACTAAGAGCTGATATTCGCCAAATGAAGATAATTTCAAACTTTCAACAACACTCTAAGGCAAGTTGCCCAGTTTAGTCTTAGACCGAGCAACTTCATCCATATCTAATGCTAAATTTAAATTTTCTTTGTTAAAATAACATTCCCTTTTAAAATTCACATTATTTCTGATCAGGATATGGCATTCAAAGTAAAATCTCGGGGCCTAGATAAGAAAACTCATAATGGCAACCTTTCAGGAATTTTCAAATTAGTTCTGGCCACCTAACGTCCTTAAAACACAGAATACAGACTCGTCATCACATTTAACAACAAAACAAAAGAAAATCAAACAGAAAAATCAACCACCAAAAATATACCAATGATTTCTTCTAAAACAGAAGCTTGACCAAGAATTTCACATCGAGTGCTTAAAAAAAAAAACACACAAAAAAGTCAAGGCTTTACAGTGTTTCCTTTTCAACTAGACTTCTTTAAAGCTTACTGGCATCATTCAAAAGCAGACAAATAGACCCGGGAGACAAAGGGAATCTTTCCATTCAGCCACGTTCGGTTATAATAATGTCACATCCATCTCCAACCATCTATAATGAAAGGACTTCAGAGAAACCCAATCTGTGAGTAACCACCCTAGGAGGCAGTGTCCTCAAAGACGGGGTCTCAATCTAGAACTGGCCCCTCTTACCTTCTGCATGTTTGGCTTGACACAGCGAACAAAGAAAGGATTAGAGGCGCTTAGGGTTGCCATCAAGGAATGCAGTGAGTCCTAATAGAAAGAAAAAAGTACACGTCGATTTAGTCTTTTAGTATCTCATTCTTTAAATTTCTCAGCACCTTAGACACTTATCAGAAACAAATTAAAAAAAACAATTTAATCATAGGAATAATAATGGTCTTTATTTTTAATTATGTCATTCTAAGATAAAGTAAATGGACTGACTATTCTTGGGGGGAAAAGGGTGTGGGGGATGCGGGAAGAGACTGGACAAAAATCGTGCACCTATGGATGAGGACAGTGGGTGGGGAGTGAGGGCGGAGAGTGGGGTGGGAACTGGGAGGAGGGGAGTTATGGGGGGAAAAAAGAGGAACAAATGTAATAATCTGAACAATAAAGATTTAATTTTAAAAAAAGATAAAGTAAAGCAAAGATATTATAATTCATTTTCACTGAAATTATTTCACAATACAGTATACAAATTTCATTTGTCACTTCCTTGAAATAGTACCATTTTAAAAAATAACATTATTCTGTTAATCAGCAAAAAAATCATAGGCTATTTCAATGGTTAGCATAGAAAACCTGAGAAATATGAGCTCTCCCACTGTAGTTATTTATCCAAACTCATTATTTCCATCCAAAAGACCTATAATCCTTTACCAGCACCTCGCTGGTCTTTGACCTACAATCTCCACGCTTACCTTCAATTTCTGTAATACCGCTTTATTTTCTTCTTTCCGATTTTTTATTGTGAATTTTTAACATTTACCAAAGCAGACAGCATGCAATGAATACTCATCATCAGCTTCAGCTAATCCCATTTCCTCTGACCCCTGTCTCCATCTGTACTATGCCCACCCCTTGCAGAAAAGCAAATCCGAGACATTGCTTATTTCATCCCTCAAAATTTCAATATGTTCTATTAAAGGATAATCACTTTAAAAAATATAGTGATAGATAACCATATCCATGTAATCCTAAAAAGATTTACCATGAATTCCTTAATGTTAACATTAAAAAGTGCAATTGTCTCATTTCATGTTAAAATAGTCAACTGTCGAAAATTTCATTTTTAAATGCTTTGTTCTTTGAATTCATGTATTGTAGTCGGTTGATATATTTCTTAAGTCTCTTTTAATGCATTGACTGCCCCTCCCCCCATCTCTCCTTTTTCTTCTTACAATCTTGCCAAGGAAACTGGGCTGTCTGTAACACTATAATGATTAGTTACTTCTCTACTTAAAAGCTTTAAGTTTTGCACAGATGACAAAATGTCCTGGCATCCATGGCCCTTCATGTCCTGGTACCAACTTAAGTTTGTACAAGGTGTCTGGCCGGCTGGCCTGTACCTATTCACAATCCTCCGGGACAGGACTCATCGCATTCCTGTCTCAGGAGTCCTTCTCCTGCCCTTGTCTCTACCTGGTAGGTCCACCCACTCTTTTCCATTTCCATGATTCCTCTTTTCCATTTCCATGATTCCTAGTCCAATTTAATCCCCAAATAGCCACAAAGCCTTGCAAGACCACACCGACCTAGAAAAAGAAAAGCTCCACCGGGAGGCTGAAAGCTAGGCTTTAGAGTCAGACAGACTTCCGCTTAATTCAAATCCTGCTCGGTCCTCAGAGGGACTGAATGGATCTCCATTTCCCTAAACCTGAGTTTTCTCATCTATAAAATGGGGACAATTATGTATATTTATACAATTACTAGAGGCCTGGTGCACAAAAATTTGTGCACTGGGGGGGGGGGGGGGGTGTCCCTCAGCCTGGCCTGTGCCCTCTCGCAGTCTGGGAACCCTTGGGAGATAACCTGCTGGCTTAGGCCTGCTCCCGGGTGGCAGAGGGCAGGCCCAATCCCTAGGTGCAGCACCTGGTTGGGCTCAGAGCAGGGCCGATTGGGGAATTGGGGCGCCGCCCCCTGTCATGCACAGAGCAGGGCGGATTGGGAGGTTGCGATGCCACCCTCAGTCACGCTCAGGGTAGGGCCGATTGGGGGGTTGGGGCACCGCCCCCTGTCACACTCAAGGCAGGGTCGATGGGGAGGTTGCGGCGCCACCCCCTGTCACGCACAGAGCAGGGCCAATCAGGGGGTTGGGGCGCTGCCCCCTGTCACGCACAGAGCAGGGCCCATCAGGGGGGTTGGGGCTCCAGAGAGTAGGGCCGATAGGGGAGTTGAGGCACCGCCCCCTGTCATACACAGAGCAGGGTGGACCAGGGGGTTGGGGCGCCGCCCCCTATCACCCACAGAGCAGGGTTGATCAGGGGGTTGGGGCGCCACCACTGTCACAGTCAGGGCAGGGCCGATGGGGAGGTTATGGCTCTACCCCATCACACACAGAGCAGGGCCCGTTGGGGGGGGGGGGGTGTTGGGGCGCTGCCCTCTATCACCCACAGAGCAGGGCCGATCAGGGGGTTGGGGAGCTCCCCCCTATCAGGCACAGAGCAGGGCTGATCAGGGGGTTGGGGCGCCTTCCCCTGTCACGAACAGAGCAGGGCAGATAGGGAGGTTGTGGCCCCGCCCCCTGTCATACACAGAGCCGCAGGGCGATCAGGGGGTTTGGGCGCTGCCCCCTGTCACGCTGATCCCGGTGCCGGGAGGCCTCGCGGCTCTGCTGATCCCGGTGCTGGGAGGCATATTATCCTTTTACTATATAGGATAGAGGCCTGGTGCATGGGTGGGGGCTGGCTGGTTTGCCCTGAAGGGTGTCCTGGATCAGGGTGGGGGTCCCCACTGGGGTGCCTGGCCAGTCTGGGTGAGGGGCTGAGGGCTGTTTTCAGGTTGGCGGGTGACTGAAGCTCCCAACTCCTCCTTTTTTTCTTTTTTTTTTTTATTCTGGGCCAGCTTTAGCTCTGGCTCCAGCTCTGAGGCCTCTGCTGCTGAAAGCAGGTATCTGGTTTGTTTGGGTTCTATAATCGAGACACTGTACCAACTCCAGCTCTGAGATCCCGGCTGGCTGAAAGCAGGTTTCTGGGGTTTTGTTTAGCTTCTATATTTGTTACAATGTTTCAAACTGCAAGCTCAGAGGCCGGCAAGGCAGGCAGGGAACGTTGGATTCCTCCGTCACTGAAGCAAGCAAGCCTCATGTTAGCTTCCAGCTGCCTGGCTGCCGGCCGCCATCTTGGCTGGCAGTTAATTTGCATATCTCGCTGATTAGCCAATGGGAAGGGTAGCGGTCGTACGCTAATTACCATGTTTCTCTTTTATTAGATAGGATGAGAGAAGTGAACAAGATAATGTTCATAAAGTGATTAGCCCAATGCCTTGCACATGAGTGTATATAATAAATGGCAGCTATTATGATTACATCCTATCTGCCCCTCATGTGATCACGTTACCCAGCACTGCCAGCCATGTTGGGTGTATCTGGCTTATTGCCAACCACACTGCACAACAGACTACACATAGACTCCCACTGATGCATCCAACTGTGAGTAAATAAAAGCCCTATAGAGGGCAGAGGTTCTAAATGTCTGTTGACTGCCCAGCTGGTATGGCTCAGTGGTTGCATGTTGATCTATGAACCAGGAGGCCACAGTTCTGTTCCTGGCTAGGGTACATGCCTAGGTTGTGGCTTGATCCCCAGTAGGGGGCATGAAGAAAGCAGCCAATCAATGATAATCTCTCATCATTGCTCTCTCTCTCTCTCTCTCTCTCTCTCCCCCCCTCCCTCCCTCCCTCCCTCTGAAATCAATAAAAAATATATTTTAAATGTCTGTTGACTGATGTGTTTCCGTATCTCTTCATATTAGGATTAAGTTACCAAAATGGTCATCATATGCTCTAAACTAAATAAAATGCTTAAAATGAAAATAAAATGCTTAAAATGAAAATAAAAATGTTCCTTGTTTTTCTGCATTCTGAACTATCTGACAAGGTAACTGACATTGATCTTACCTAAATATGCACTTGGTTATTATTCCTAGTTATGACATTATAAATAGACCTGAGAAAAATACAAATATTCAGACATGGGAAGAAATAGACACAATTTTCACATGATGATCTGGATACAAATCAGAGTGATCCCACGTGGCCAAACATAATCCCACATGGCAAGTCTTAAGAATTGCTATTTCACAATCTAAGATTAAGCAGCTACTTATTTTTTAACAACAACGAAAAAACCATATACTATTTCTGGTTTAAAGGATGATATAAAAGAAAAACACTGGCTCATGGAGCTCTTGTTCCTAATTCCTACTTTCAGTTCTTAGATCACAATAACAATGAACTCATCAAAGCCAGCGGAGGAGACTAACCTTGAACTGCGAGCTGACCGTGGGCCGCCGGTGCTTGCTTCCACATTTCAAGGTATCCTGGCTATTGCGGCTTGAAACGTGTTCAAATAGGTCATAGATGAAGTCGAATCTGTGAGAGCAAAGAGCAGGGACCATGAGGGGCACACACCCAATTATTAGGTGCTAGATTACTGTAATTACAATGCATTTTCCCACTGACAGTAACACACCGAGGCCTGGAAGAGCTAAGACAGCTCCAAAGATTTCAAACCAACCACTGCGTCAGGCATTGAAAAATAATTTGGTCGCCTCCAGTGCTCTAGAGTCTGGCAGAACAGTGGATTGTGATGAAAGTGATGTGCAGCCCAGGGTCCAGGTAGGAGAGAACCACCTCAGCTTCTGCCGCCTTGACTTCCTCCAGTTGGAGGGACATAACGTTTTGCTCATGTCACAGTGTTGCAACATCCATTCATTTAACAGGTGGAAAGGTGCTCACTCTAGAGTGAGGCAGACTGGGGTTCAAATCCTGCCTCCGCTATTTCCAGGCCAGGTGACTTGGGCAGGATGCTTGTCTCTCTCCAGGCCTCAGTATTTCCATCTGGAAGATGGGGGTAATTTTAAAATTTATCCCATCACTCTGGGGTGAGAATGAAATGAGAAAATGTACAAAAGGCTGAGCAGGGTGCCTGGCACATGGTAAGTGCTAAAGTTGGTAGCTGGTACTATTATTAAAAAGTTGTGTAGAATGCCATTGCCCCTACTAATAAAGTAGAAGGCTTTTCAGTAACTTCTTTTTATCTTCCTTGCATGGAAGACATTTTGGGCTGTAAAGTGGGGGGCGTGGGGGGGAGAATATGTGGTTTGGTGGCTTCACTGAGACCAGGAAAGGTGGGACAACGTCTGGGCATCCACAACTCCCAAGGTGGCAACGCCAGCGCTTCCTCCGTCACTTCTCCCTTTGCCCCAACCCTTCCTCACTTTTGTCCCCGGGGGCTACTTCATGCTCGCTCCAACAATGCTTTGCGCGCTCTGAAGAAAAGCTCTGGTCCCATGACCCGGTCACAGATGTCAGGGGTGAAAGAGCAGAGTGAGCACACAGCCCACACCTCTCAGTTTGCAGAGAGAAACCTGGGGCTGAAACAGAGAGTTCTTCAGTCCCATCACAAAACCACTTTACGGGTGAGAGCGAAATGCCAGCTTGCTGATCTCCACGCCTGGGAGCTTCTCATGACATCGGAGTGCTTCTGTTTAACACCAAGACGCTGCTTTTATTTAAATGCGTCACAATAACTCAGAAACTTCTCTGGTAGATAGCATGCCATGGTGCTTTTCCAACATCGGCATTTCTACAGATCTAAACACTCATCTAAGAGTAGAAAAGGTGACCATTTGTAAATAGGGGAAGAGAGTTAAAACACATCTGAAGACGGAATACTTCCAATTCTGAGCTTCTAAGCTGACACTTGAGATGGCTCCCTTCCCCTCAGTACACAGCTATTTAAGTGACAGGGAGGCCACCTGGCCTTAGCATTCCTAAAAGTATTATACCTTTAAAATAACTGGGCTACTTTCCTTCCTTAGGTACTAAAATTTTATTTCTGTTATATTCACTCGGGCTCTGACACAGGCATTGAAAGCTTTAACGCAGGCTTATTTTCCTCCCTTTTTCTCTCACATAGCCTCCTAGGTTAATACATACATAGCTACGCTAATCAACTATCGATTAATGGTGTAGATTTACAATTCACGAATGAAGAACTGGATGTGCAATAAACTTATCATTTTAGCTGAACTGATACTGGTTTATTTTTCCTGACAGACTTTGTACTAAATACAGACATAAGGGTCCTACAAACCCAAGGCTGAAATCGATTTAACCGCAGCTCTAAGCTTGTCATGAAGAACATCGGTCATACTGGTTATGGTTTGGGTTCTTAAGCCAAGCAGACTGACACGGAGACAGTGTTCAGTTGATCAGCAGCCTAGCCAGGATCTCTAGCCAGGATCTCCAGCCAAGTTCTGGTCTGGATCTCCAGCGAAGTTCTGGTTAGGATCTCCAGCCAGGTTCTGTGTCCATGTTCTCTTGCTAGGTTCTCCAGGTTCTCCAGCCAGGTTCTGTAGCCATGTTCCCTCGCTAGGTTCTCCAGCCAGGTTCTGTCCAGGTTCTCCAGCCAGATTCAGTCACCAGGTTCTAGTCAGGTTCTCTTGCCCATTTCTGTAGTCAGGTTCAGTCCAGGATCTTTTGCCATGTTCTCTCCAGCGAAGTTCTTCTGTCTCTAGTTCTGTGTAGGTTCTGTCTTCTTCGTTCTGTCTTCTTACATCTGTATTTATACTAGTTGATTCCAATCCTATCAATCTCTATTCCAAAGGTTAGGGTGTTTCTTATCTCCATTCCAGGGAGTAAAGATTATGTAGCTTAAGCATGATTGTTCCTAGTTAAAGTGATTAATTACCCGCCTGGCACTTAGTTAAGAGGTTTTATTCCCTCCCTAACTTCAGGGGAAAATCCCTACCTGGGGAAACAACCTTTCTCAGAGACCTTGGTTAAAACACATAGTGCCAAGAAGGTGAGCAAACATATTAAGAACAGTATGCCATATATGCCAGGTCCCTTGAAACAGCAAGCATGGACCGGCTCCCAGCAGCAGACCAATCAAAACTAGAGGGATCTTGGGCGAGTCACCTAACTGCTCCAAGTCTCAGTTTCCGCATCCGCACAACAGGAGTCAAAACAGTATCTAACTCATGGATCTGCTGTGCTTACAGCCCCCGATTAAACGGTAGTCACTGCTATTCGTATATCTGTTGGTCATTTTATTGGTGAACTATTGCCCAGGGAAGAAGAGAACAGATTAAGTCACTTCCATATTCATTGTTTCGATATTTGTGAATTAACAGCATTTGCATAAATATTACTTTGCTCGCTAATGATGTCTTAGGGAAGAGACTGACATACCGGCTTTCCCTTAGCAAGTTGAGAAGATCATCTCTAAAGGTATCTCTGTTCTTCTCCAAGATGCCCCGGACATCATACTGCACCTGGTTTTAAAAAAATAAATGCAAGAAGGTAGAATTGATCAAAAGAGTAATCTCAGGTGATAAGCATGAGACTCCCTTTAAAGATAGGTCCATGGAAAAAAGTCATATGAATATATTTATGATTGGCTTCTGAAAGTATTATTTCTCTAAAATACCAACTGGGCAAATGTCAATAAGGATCTTAATTAAGAAGTTACCTCTCCAGCGTAGTGCTTCACTCCAAAATTGTTGACTGCGACTCTGGGCTTCACGTAAAAGTGGTTATTCTAATTTAAAAAAACAAAAAACAAATGCCTACTTTTACTTACTGGTTTCCACTGAGTTCCAGAGGAAACTAACTACCACAGTAAAACCAATTTCAAAACCAGTCATATAGCCACACAGCCGGTGATACACTTAATGAAAACCATGTCCCTCTTGTCTGTGTCATTACAACAGGTTGAAAATACAAAATTCTATACTCATATACGTGGGCATAATCTGACAAACAGCCCCAAATCTACCCCCTTGGCTGATTTTGATTTAGTTCTAACAATCGAAGAGGACCACCACTGGTTTAAGAGGCAAAAACAAATTAAATGTGGAGGCACAGGGGGGGCCAAATCTACCCCTTTGGCTTATTTTAACTTAGTTCTAGAAATCGAAAAAGCACTCCATTGGTTATGTGAAAAAACAAAATTAAATGTGGAGGCCCAGGGGGGCCAACAGCACTGAAATATCTCGAATGTCATTTTAATCCACAGATCTGCTACCCAGACATAACTAAGAATTGGCAGGTCTTGACATACCGCATGTTGATTGTGTAATTTCTCCAATAAGGTGCTGTCCGTGGCTTGAGGAAAATGGCTTTCTTCATTGATAAGGGCCAGGAGACCAAGTTTCTAGAAGAGGGAAAGAAGGTTAAATGAATTAAAAGTGAACATAACATGCTTCAAAGTATTTTAGAGCTCCTTTCCTCTCTACTCTCTATCAAATAAGTGGTTAAAAGAAAAGGCACAGCCCGGAGGTGTGGCTCAGTGGATGAATGCTGACCTATGAACCAGGAGGTCACAGTTCCATTCCTGGTCAGGGCACATGCCTGGGTAGTGGGCTTGATTCCTCACGGGGGCATGCTGGAGACAGCTGATCAGTGATTCTCACTCATCATTGATGTTTCTAACTCTCCCTTCCTCTTTGCAATCAATAAAAATATATTTTAAAAAAGAAAGTAAAAGGCACAGTAACTCTTTAATCGAAAAAATTCATAATGGTACTTTAAAGAAATCCAATAAATTTAAATTCCACATAAACATTAAAAAAAAAAATTAAACCCACCACCATTTTGTGGACAAAACTTTTACAACTGGCTGGTGTCTTACTGGTACCGGCAAGGCCTTGATGCTGACTTAAAATCTACGTGAGTGAAGCGGTTCTGCCCGCTGCTGATCCTAAAAATACTGAGTCAAGGAGACAATAGCCTTGAAGCAGCCAAGTGTTTAAATTCAACCCTGCACATTTACATTTACATTTCCAAATGGCCCATTGTGTTCTAAACATTCACATCTTTGATGTGCGTGTTCACACAAGCCATTTCGTTCCCATAAAGATGAATCAGCCAGCTGGACACCCTTGGGACTGAAACGACTCTTCAACAATACATTACCTTCTCGATCAAGTCCAGGCATTCGCCATTGTCTATCCAGTCAATATCTTCCCACACTAATCCTTCTCTGTAGAAAGATTAAAAAAAGCTGAGTTATAGCAACCTGTACCTTTCTAATTTAGTGGCTAATAAAAAAAAAAATGAAATAGGATTCCATGAGTGCTTACCTGCTATATTCTAGTTGTTCTAAAGAAAAAATGTGCTTGTTGAAATATTCCTGAAGTTTCTCATTTGCATAGTTTATATTGAACTGTTCGAAGTGATTAACCTAAGGGAAGAAACCATTCAAAAAGTATCTTTAATGCTCTCACTATTATATATAAAGATGAAAAAAAAATCTCCAGAAAAAAAAATCCGTGTTTGTTATGAAAGTTTTGAAGATCAGCCAATAAGTGGATAGAAAAGAATGCATGTGTCCCACCGGTGGAAGCATACCTCGAAGTTTTCAAATCCGAAGATGTCAAGAATGCCAATAGATTTAAAGTCGTCTTTGCCTTTGATCCTGCTGTTGATCTTCTTGATCACCCACTCGAAGCAGCGTGCATAAAGTGCCATGGCCAGGGAGTCTCTGCTGTCCACTGCCTGGGGGGAGGAGACGTGGTCACCCTGTCCCCGACCAGGGACAGCCCGGCAGGCAGGTCCGCCCCACCCACGCGGGAGCTCTTGGGAGACACATGTGGCAGGGGTGGCACCCGGGACTCAATGGCAAGTAAATCAATGCCACCTCGGAAAACACAGACTTGAAGAAAGGATAAACTGGAGCTTGCTTGTCCCTTTATAGTAGGACTCACCAAGGATGCCTTTAAATACCAGGCTCCAGCGACAACTCTGTGTGCTGAGTTTAGGTAAGAATCTGAGCTGATATATACAGTTACACATTTTATTGGGTTGAAAACAATAATGAAGACAGTGTTTTCATTTTTATCTCCTTCTCCTATTGTACTTTGTACACATAAAAGTTTCCTTTATGGGATATGGTTAGTATTTTTGACTTATCTAATCAAGACACAGGTATTACACAGAGTAGAGCATATAACTGGCTCCAGGCTGTTACAGAGGCAAAAATAAGTAACACAACATACTATTGCACTGTTTTCATGTATAATAATGTATTATAGTTCACGTTTATTTAGTTCTTATTCTGTGCCAATCAGTAAGTACTTAGAATATATATATTTTCTTATTACCCTTACAAGAATCCTCTGAACTAGGTCTTACAGAGGAAGCTGAGGCACAGTGAACAAATTTCCTAAGAGCAGACAGTAAAAGGTGGGAGAGTCAGGACTCACACGGAGGCCATCTGCACCAGACCCAACCCTCTTAAAGAGGCAGCTACACCGTCTCTTAGAAACAATTCAATAACGTTATCTACTCCCCTCCGGGTGGATATCTTTATTTTGACTGTGAACCACAGTTACTTATTTGAATCCAAGCCATGGCTCTGAAACCCCAGGAGCGTCCTTCAAATCCAGCCTGGGTAGCAAAGGGCATGTACCTGCTGAACGCTGAGCGGCGTGAGGATCTCCTCCCCCCTGAGGAACATCGATCTCTGGGTCAGAGCGTCCGTGAGCTGCGTTGGGTCCAGCCCAAGTAACTCTGCAGACCTGCCCAAGGCTGGGAATGAAGAACAAAGTGAACGCGGGCTCCCAGCCCGCAAGAGGACCAGGCCGAAGGGACCCCCAGGGGGCACAGAGCTAACCACGCACAGCAACACAGGAAAGCAGAAAGCATCCCTGAATCCCTCAGGCAGAAGTGATGGGACACACATTCTAATGTAAGTTTGTTGCTCCTTTATCGAGTCCTAGGTTATTAGCAAAGAACCTGGAGCTTGGACCAAGTGCAGTCCAGAGACCCCAAGATTAGGGGGTGTTCCCAAGACACTGTGGAGGTTTGTGAAGTCATAACTATTGTCAATGATGATACTAAGATGTTATTTGCTTTTTTATTCTCATTCCCTCACCAGAATACCCATGATTTTTCCAGGGACTACATGACCTGAGGTATCTCGAACAAAATAAATGCAACAGCAGATATGAGAACCCAACTGGCCTCTGTTACATTAGATATTAAAGAAACTTGCAAAAATGTAAGACAATGTGACTCTTCTTACTGATTTGTTTTTCTTGGAAAATAGTCTTTCATACAAATATTGTATTTTAATATGCAAAGGGTTTATTATGGTCATTTTGCAATGCCTGTTTTAATTCCTAATATTGTAAACACCAATAGATAAGACTCACATTTGTAAAAGAAGCTCTTTGGGGTTCTCCATCATGTTAAGATGATTACAAAGTGCTGGGACCAACGTTTGAGAACTACTGGCCTGCAACACTGTGCTCCTTACAGCCATTGGTACTTGACCTCATCAAGTTCCCAGCCTCCATGCCCTCATATAGTGCTTCCATCAGAACAGCTTAAAAATAAATACATAAACCGCTCCAGGAAGAGGGCAACTGACACAGCTATGTGTGCATGAACTCACTCCATCTCGACAGCACATCTCCGAGGCACTTTACCAACAAGAAGTTGCTGGCGTTGAGGGGATAAATAACCCAGGAAATAGGCCGAGGCCGTGCCAGGCTGCGGGCACAGCCTCTGCCTTGAAAACTAAGGGCCTCACCATTACACTGGGCCACCACTCGACAACTGGAGAACTATGTCCACACTCCGCCCGACTCAGGACATTTTCCCTACAGCTCATCCTCCTTACGCGTGTTTCCTCTGATCTGGCCCATGTTCCTTCTTTCTTAGGAGGAACAAGAACACAACCACCCTCCCATTCTGGAACCAAGTCTCAGAGGTTTTGACCCTTTATCTGCTGACAGTTCACATGAGGAACAGAGTTCTGTAGCTCTTTATTTCAAGGTCAGCAAGCTCTTTCTGTAAAAGGCCAGACAGTAACTATTTCAGGTCTAAGTTCCCTACTAGGAAAAAGCCAAGGCAGGAAAGAGGGGCAGGGGCAGGAGGGGCGGCCTTACCCGTTTTGAAGGAAACCTGCGCCCCACCAGCAGTGATAAATTCTATGTTCCCAAGGTGCAGTATGCCAGCAAGCAGCCTCAAAACCTCCCGGACCTCCTCCTTGCTAAACTGCATTACGTCCATCGCCGTCTGGAAGAAAAGTGACGTGTTTCATGGTTTATGTTGTGGCTGTTATTTTTCATACTAAAGAGAAATTTTTTTTAAATGCTCATTGCTCAACAGAATTATCAGGTATTGTTCTAAAAGGCAAGAAAATAGGAAATAGATGCATGACCAGTTTTAAAGATAAAGACCTTACACAGATACACATTAAAGAACACGAGGTTAAGAACTGTAGAATGTTGAGGAAGAACCCAATCGATGACATAAAAATAAGGATCCGCCGAATGTACAAACCTCCTAGTTATGCCACAAAAAATTACATTTTTTCCTACAGCTATCAAAGCATAATGGAACATTTATTTTCTTACATATGAAAGTAGGGGGGCAATTTGGGGGAGCTAAGCCTTCCTTAGAGTCCTGCAGGGTCAACACTGGGGCTGGTCCTCATGGTTACTCACAGCAGGAACCCAGGGAGGTGGAATAAAATCGGGCAGGGACTCTACAATGGGAGAGTCTTTGTATCCTTTTACAACAGATACTGGTGGACCTAGGAATGGATCTGGATCTATCTGCCCTAGACATTCTTTGACGTCTCCACTTCTCATTTCTCCAAAGGGTTCTTAAGGTCTTATCTTGGCCTCTGCGTAGTAAATGGAACCTAACAAAATGCTGTTTGGGGAAAAACTAACAATAAACAGGCATCTACCTACACGTCCACATCTGTATTTTAAATATGCAAAGGGTTTGAAACCAGCAAGTATCCAAACGACTTTAGCCAGGAGTCTTCTCGATCACATCCAAGATCTGCTCATTTTCTATTGGGATTTAGGAGCCATGCTCATGTCAGGAACACTGCACTCACATCCACATCCTCAACTGAGGACAGAATTGGCGACAAGACTCCTGAAATGACCTACAAAGAGGACGTGGGCCCAGCCGGTGTGGCTCAGTGGTTGAGCGCCGACCCACGAACCAGGAGGTCATGGTTCGATTCCCAGTCAGGGCACATGCCTGGGTTTCAGACTCAATCCCCAGTGGGGATGCGGACGTGCAGGAGGCAGCCAATCAATGATTCGCTCTCATCATTGATGTTTCTATCCCTCTCTTCCTCTCTCTGAAATCAATAAAAACATATTAAAAAAAAAAATCACTGCACTGACCACAGGAGACGTGGGAGAAGGAAACCATGCACCACTTTGAAGCAATAGAAATTGCAAAAGGAAACAACTGGAGATTTTAAAAAATGAGACACAGGATTTCTTTACAAGGAAAAAACAATGAAGTTGAAACAAAGGGCAAAAACAATAGACAGGGAAACAAAATTAAAAGAAAAAAATGCAAGGGAAGGAGCAAGAGCTATATTGGGAGATACACAACAAAAATAAAATAGGCCCTTCTTACACAGGAAGTGCAAATCCACAGAGAAATTATTCTCTGTCATAGAAACAAAGCACGCACAAATTAAAGAAAATCGGGGATCACGTCTATTAAATTAGCAAAACATTTCTGAAGAATTGACCTAAAAGTGGTGAAACTGGGATGTTTAGGCACTGGCCACTGGTACTAAAAGTGAGTATAACTTTTTGGAAAACAAGATTGTGGCAGGACTGTGTTGGGCCACATGTGTATACACTCTTACAATGTTTAGAGAGGTTAAGGAATTTTCTCAGGGTTGCATAAACAAGATTCAAAGTCCAGGAATTTGTTATCGATCCAACTTTATTACTTTCCAAGAACATTAAAAAAAAAAGAAAGAAATCTCCTGTGTAATCTCCCATAACTTCAATGATGAAAATTTGTTCCAAGGAAAATGCTGACAATAATAAAGTTTTGCAAAATGTCACTACAGTGTTATCTTAACACTTCCAGAGAATTCTAACTAACCCATAATTAGGCAAAACAAATAGAGTAAATAACATTGTTAGAATAGTGTATCGTTTTTAAAGGAAATTCTCAACCTCATATAGAAACATGATTATATTTTGCTTTCTTCAAAGGGTAAAACTACATTTTTTTTTTTTTTATCCATAACTAATAAAATCAGGACGGGAAGAAAACTTACAAAAAATGAAAAACATAGTAGTGTTGGTAGGCTCATAAACACTGTGTTGTATCATGTCCTTTAATGTTGTTGACATCCTTCTGAACAAAAAATGAGACTATTATGCAAATCGCTCTCTACCCAATGGGATACTACTCACCACGCAGAGGAATGAATGGTGTTATGTGGGACATGGATGAGCAAAAGAAGGTAGACACGGGAGAATACATTCTGTGTGATTTCATTTACACGAAACTCTAGAAAAGACAAACCTATGCCATGTATGGTGACCGAAAGATCAGTGCTTTCCCAGGCTGGGGTGGGGTAGCTGGGATTGTCTGGGGAGGAGAACAAAGAACTTCTGGGGTACAGAACTGTCCTTTCTGTTGATTGTGGTTGTAGGTACATGGGTGTATAAATTAAAAATTCATCGAAATGTGTACTTTACATGGGAGCGTTTTATTTTATGTACATTATAGCTCAGTAAAGTTTATTACAAAAAATGAAAAGACCATGAATTATTTAATCAAGGGTGAGAAGACTCATTTCAGGGTACAAACAAAACTTAATGCAAAAACAACTATTAGTCAAGTGTTTATCAATAAAAAGGCCTGTGGAAAAATAATTACTCAAATTTACTTATTCTAAATGCAAAGAAATAGGGCTAAGAAATACAGAACAATTTATTATGTTCAGGACTTTAAAACAGTGGTCAGGATCAAATCAGACATCAGCAAAATAAAAATAAAAAATCACCTATGCTGCGCAAAAGTTAATATTTTCCTTTTCTATGATGAAAGTTTTCCTTATATTACCAGACATAGTCAATACTCATTTATAAAAATGTTCTGACCTCATCTTAGAATGACCACAGAAATGAAAATATTCACTGCTTTAAGTCACCTACCTGGACTTTAAACATAGTAAAAGAAACAAGATTTCTGAAAACTTGTCTACAGTAGCAGAAAATTTCAAATGGTCAAATGAAAAATATCAAAAGATGCCCTATGAAAAAATTGGTTAAGTTCTGAGAATACATACAAAGATTATAAATGGAGGGAGGTACGAAAACAGATGGATAAAGCGTGCTTACTTCATTAATAAACTTGTGACTTCTTCACTTTCAAGTCCAACTCTGAGTGAATTAATTAGTGAGGAGTGTGGTGATAAGTGGTAATTGCATTAATAACACCATGGGGTAATTTAATGGTTGCAACCAATTATCGCCCGCGTGGGTGTGAGTGCCAAAATTGCTAGCCAGAGCTCCATCCATTGTCTCTTACTGTCCTATTTACGATATTTTTAGTAGCAATCTCCACCCCTAGGCAAGAGTAGCACTTTAAGGTTTATTATAATTATCTTATTTTCTCAACAATAGGGCTCAAGACTTAAAAAAAATAAAAACCCTGGGAAATTCTCAGTATAGTTCAGAAGCACTAAACAGCAATTTAGTTATGAAACTGGCACAAAGTTAGACAACATATTTTCAAGAAAGTCTGTACTAAGCCCATAAAAATTAAATGTTTGTGAAAGTGTGTGTGAGAGATGTTAGGGGCGATACAGTCCCAACCATGAAGGACTGAAGGCAGTGAGGGTGTCACACTAGAAACAAATACAGAAGAGCAGCGAATTGAGGATAATTCACTGCCAATAGGTACATCTGATCTGCCCAGGGTCTCAGAAGTCAGCTGTGAGTGGGAAGGCTCCATTCAAGAAGGCAAAGGGATCACAGATGAACCCTGAATAAATGGTACAATGGAAATGGTGGGAGAGAAGGCTATTCTGGGCATAGTCAATTATTATAAGTAATATAATCACTTATTCTGTAATGTTATGTTACAGCAAGGCCATAATATGCTATTTAGTAATATAAAATTTGCTTATATTCCCAAGTTTTCCAATACTGAAAGAGACTGTTTCCAAGCTTGGTAAAATCGAGGTATCAAGTCAGCCCGTTACATTTTCTTAAACTCTGACTCATGAGGCATGAATCTGTGCCTACATATACATGGGCTCACACCATTAAACACCCATGGATATGCCCAGTGAGCCCACAAGGTGAGGAAATCCCAGAGTGGCTCATGACTAGGCTCACTGGAAAACATTCAATACTGTGGAGGAAGAAAACACTGAGATTATAGCTCAGACTCATCTTACCTCACACACATTTCATCAGCCCCTATCCTGTTGGGTCAATGCAGGTGACAGAATACATTAGTTGTTACTATTGACTTAAAATAGCTTTCCATCCTAACTGGTCAGTTAACAGGCAACTTGGAAGGCTGCATAAGAAATGGTCACGAAGTTTAACAGGTCCTGTCTCTGCCCCAGCAAACCGAGGTCCCCCCATAATTGCTCAGGATACCTCACAGGTACTTATTTATATTAATGTCACAGGTGCTTATTTATATTGATGGCGTCACCGTCGATGCCAATGATGACTTTTACAAATACATAAATTCTCAATGAATTAAGCAAATTTCGTAAGTATATTGCCAAAGCATATTGACATTAAAGTTGATTAAAAGGATGTTTTTTTTTAGAAGCTAAAAAAATGGAACACCAGCCCTGGCCAGATAGTTCAGTGGGTTAGAGCATCATCCCAATACGCCAAGGTTTCCAGTTCAACCCCAGGTCAGGGCACATACAAGAATGAACCAATGAATGTATAAATAAGCAGAACGACAAATCGATGATCCTCTCTGTCTCTCTCCCCCCACCCACCCTGTTCCTCTCTCTCAAAAAAAAAAAAAAATCAATAAAAAGTAAAAAGAGCCCAATCGGTTTGGCTCAATGGATAGAGCGTCAGCCTGCGGACTCAAGGGTCCCAGGTTCGATTCTGGTCAGGGGCATGTACCTTGGTTGCGGGCACATCCCCAGTGGGGAGTGTGCAGGAGGCAGCTAATCAATGTTTCTCTCTCATCGATATTTCTAGCTCTCTATCCCTTCTCCCTTCCTCTCTGTAAAAAATCAATAAAATATATTTTTTTAAAAAAAGTAAAAAGAACACCAGTGACATATTCATACATATTCATAGAAATAATTTCTCTCCATTAGCACTTTAACAACTCTGCTAACAAATGTCCATGAGCCCCAGCAGAATGTAGTCCCTTTCCTTCCTACAATCCCCAAACCTCTGGGAAAAGGAGCTTTACGGAATTCGAGTATGAAGATACAAATGTAAGTGGGATTTGCGGTTGGAAGGAAATATTGAGATGAATTACATAAAAAAAACAACAGTATAATCTGTTCCAGCCATCTTCAGCAGAGTGCAGGGATCATGTGGTTGGCTTGCTCTGTCTCCCCAGCGCCCGGCACACAGCAGGTACTCAAATATGCTGAACATATAAAGTCACCTCCAGCCAGGAGAGTCTGGAGTCTTCTTATCCATTTCTGTGTCACTCCTGGTAACAGAGTGCTGCCCAAGGCAGAAAGATGGGCTGGCTGGTACTGGTAATGATACTTATGATTATATTCCTATATTACAGAAATATGACTTTTAAGAATATTATCATAATAATCATTACAAAGTTGGGATATTTGTTGTAAAAATGTAACACAGAGACTGGTAAAGAATAAATACAATCCTGGAATTCTGCCTCATGGGTGACATTTTGGTATATTTTGTTCCAATATTTTTCTGCATATATAATTATTATATATATACATTATATTCAAGGTATGGCAAATGTAGGTTTACAGATGTTTGTATGGAAAATAATACAATAATTAATAAATAATCAAAGAATAAACTGTTTCACATACTCACAATTGTAAACTTACTTTTGCCCCACCCTGTATATATAATGCTTATTATTTAAATAAAAAGATTATAGTGCTGCATAACACCTTCCTCACTTACGTAATAAGCAAGTTTTCCCATATTATTAAATACTAGAAGCCCAGCACGCGAAATCACATGGCCCCGCCCACCCGAGCCAGTCTTTGGTCATTACGGCGTTAGGGCCACAGGCCTTTTATAATATAGACTAGAGGCCTGATGTATGAAATCTGTGCAAGAGTAGGCCTTCCTTCCCTCAGCTGTTGGCACTGGCTTCCCTCTGTCACCTGGGACCCGGGCTTCCCTTGCAGCCCCAGATTCATCCAGAAGGTCGTGTGGGGCTGTCCCATCTAATTAGCATATTACCCTTTTATTATTATAGATACTTGAGCATGTGTTTTGCTTGTTGCCATGGATCATATTTTATGGGTTTAACAAATTATTAAAGCCATTCTCCAATTCATGATTTTGTGAGTTTAGGGAGAAAGAAATCTTATTTTTTACAGAAAAGAATTTTTTCCTCCTTTCTGAAAAGTTGCTCATTTATGTTTCTTTTCCAACAACATTGCTTAGAACTTCCAGAAGGAGGAAACCACATGTTCCTGATTTTCGTAATCACCAGCTACGTTGTCTTTGACATTTCTGACGGGTCCACACTAAAAGGTAATTGCAAAGTAAGTATTAAGGATCTGTCAATAGAATACTTTTAAGTTTGTTGTGTACATTTACAAAGCCAAATTTATGTATACACTCTTCTTCCTTTCTAGGAGACAAAGCCTTTCATCATAAGACCACATTTCAAATGTCAAAACCTATCATTACAATTTAAAAATAAAAGCTAGCAATCACTGAAACTAGGACCCGCTCCAAAAATTAACTTGCAGCTAACAAGAACAAGCAGTTCTAAGTCAGAAAACGGTGCCCCAAGAGGAAAGCCATCAAGGCACCTTCTCCAGGCACTCAGGATGAGGGCAGGCCTCACTGCCAGTGCCCCCTAGTGGCCAGTCAGCTAGTCAGTCTCACCTGCAGTGGAACTACCACTCCGATAATTAGGAGTCTATCGGTTACCAGGAACAAGGTCCTATCACGAAGCACTGCTGGGCAGCTTCAAGAAAGAAGTAACGTATTTTGTTGAGAATTTTGATGTCTATGTTCATTAGGGATATTGGCCTGTAATTCTCTTTCTTTGTGGTGTCTTTGTCTGGTTCTGATATCAGAGTCATGTTGGCTTTGAGGAATGAGTTTGAAAGTGTTCCTTCCCCTTCCATTTTTTTTTGGAATAGTCTGAGGATAGATACTAATTCTACTTGGTAGAATTCACCTGTGAAGCCATCTGGTCCTGGGCTTTCCTTTGTTGGGAGGTTTTTTGATGACTGCTTCAACTTCACTACTACTAATTGGTTTGTTGAAAATCTGTTTCTTCTTGGTTTCATCTTGGAAGGTTGTGTATTTCTAAAAAGTATCCATTACTTCTAGGTTGTGACTGTTGGTATATCATTGTTCACAGTATTCTTGAACGATCCTTTGTATTTCTGTGGTGCCCATTGTAATCTCTCCTCTTTCATTTTCCAACTTTATTTATTTGTATTCTCTCTTTTTTGCTTGATGAGTCTTGCCAGAGGCTTGTCAATTTTATTTGTCCTCTCAAAGAATCAACTCTTAGTTTCATTAATCTTTTCTATTGTTTTTATTTTCTATTTTATTTATTACTGCTTTGATCTTTATTATTTGGTGTATTTCCAAAAGCCAAGATGTGGGAGCTATGTAGGTATCCAGTAATAGGGGAATAAATAAAGAAAAAGTGGTGTGTGTACACGTACACACACACACATACACACACACTGGAATATTGCACAGCAATAAGAATGAAATCTTGCCATTTGTGACAACATGGATGGATGCAGTGGTTCTCAACCTTCCTAATGCTGTGACTCTTTAATACAGTTCCTCATGTTGTGGTGACCCCCCAACCATAAAATTATTTTCGTTGCTACTTCATAACTGTAATTTTGCTACTGTTATGAATTGTAATGTAAATATGTGATATGCAAGATGTATTTTCATTGTTCGCAATCCACAGGTTGAGAACCGCTGAGAGGGTATTATGCTTCGTGAAATAAGCCAAAGAAAAACAAATATCACATGTTTTTTTCACTTATATGTGAAATCTAAAGAACAATATAAACGGACAAAATAAAAACAGACTCACAGAAACAGAGAGCAAAGGGATAATTACCAGAAGGAAGGGGAATGGGGGTGGGTGAAAGGAAGGGGAATATAGTCAACAATGTTGTGGTAAGTTTACACAGTGACAGATGAATACTAGACATAGTAGGATGATCACGGTGTAAAGTATAAAAATACTGAATCATTATATTGTACACCTGAAATTAACATAACCAATATAGATTGCATATCAACTATACTTAAATAAAAATAAAATTTAAAAAAAGAAAGCAGAAATAATCGAAAAAAATCCTGAGACGTCTTTTTGCAACTCATCAAAAATAAGAACGAGTTTTCTAATTTATTCTAATGCAAGATCTTTCAGCAAAGAGAGTAATGCAGTAAATGAATTGTGAATGGAGAAAATCTGAGTCATGAGAGACATTGAGGGAGCCAAAATAAAACTGGGAAAGAAAAAATTACTGTTCCCAGACAGTGGTGCAAATATAATTATTTCTGTTTTTAATAAAAGTTTTATATGAAACAGAAAATAAAATTTGTTCTTTTTGTGTCACTCTTAATAAGGGAAAATAAGAAAGTAACTTACAATAACTTCCCTAAAGGATTCCTGGTCACTGATTGTCTTGTCTTCTACACATCCGGACTGATTCAAGTAGTGGTAGTTTTCTGGTACAGATAAATAAAATTCTTCTACAAAGAGGAGAAAACAACACATCAATGCTTGACTGTCCAGGATAAGACTGAATCTGAGTTTTTACTTTGTGATGTTAAAATTGAGTACATAAATAATTCTGTGCTTGTCCTAGCCGGTTTAGCTCAGTGGATAGAGCGTCGGCCTGCAGACTGAAGGGTTCTGGGTTCGATTCTGGTCAAGGGCACATGCCCAGGTTGCAGGCTCAATCCCCAGTGGAGGATGTGCAGGAGGCAGCTGATCAATGATTCTCTCTCATCTTGATGTTTCTAGCTCTCCATCTCCCTTCCTCTCTGAAATCAATAAAAATATAATAAAAAATAATAATAATTCTGTGCTAGTAGTCCCCTATTAAGAGAAAGTCCTCTCTTAATCATCAGATAGGGAAAATTAGAAAGAATCTAATGAGACTAAATGGTATGACAGAAAATGTTACTGAAAAAAAAATCGATAAGGATCCTGTTTTGACTGCTTTTTTCTTTTTTTTAAAAAAATGTATTTTATTGATTTTTTACAGAGAGGAAGGGAGAGGGATAGAAAGTCAGAAACATCGATGAGAGAGAAACATCGACCAGCTGCCTCCTGCACACCCCCCACTGGGGATGTGCCTGCAACCAAGGTACATGCCCTTGACCAGAATCGAACCTGGGACCTTTCAGTCCGCAGGCCAATGCTTTATCCACTGAGCCAAACCAGTTACGGCTTGACTGCTTTTTCTTAAAAATCAAATATTCAGAAAAAATAATCAAATATTCAGAAATTAGCTTTCTTCGGGTGTAACTTCAAACTAAAACGAGTTTTAATACATTATATATAAATGTTTCCATAAATACTCCTTACATCAGAAAAGCACCAAGATTCCAAAAACAAACACAAAACCTAAGATTTCTCTATTGATGACTTTCTCTGTACATTATTTGGCTCTGAAAGAAACTCAACATTGTCTATACTCTCACACATTTCGAATCGATTGGTGGAATACTAACAAAGTTCAAACAGATGTCTTCTTGTGTCCTGATGGTTTTTAAAGGGAAAATGAGTGACTCACCTCTCTGCTCGCCCTCCAGCCCTGCCAGCAGTGCATAGAATATGTGGTAATTCCGCTCCCCAGGATTTTGCCTTACTACTCGGTTCTGTGGAAATAAATCAGATTTCTATTCAGAGATGTTTCCCCCTGCTTAATTAACACAAACCAATAATTTCCGAAAATTGTTATTGTGAAGGCAAACATGAATTAAATCATGTCTACTTACTTTTTCTAATAAATCTTCATGTGAAAAGCAATGGCAAGTCAAGGAACAAAACCAGGATATGACCTGCTTAATTACTCTCTCATTTTCTGTTCTTTGTTACCCAAATAATTATAATTCCCCAGTCCGCTGCCATTGAGACTTCCGGTGCCAAAAGATAAGCCCTGAAAGCATAGACTATTTCACCTAAATCCAATTTCAAACATGACCCATGGCACCCTAGGATGTACCAAACAATTGGGCAGAATTGATTTCAAACAACAGCTGATGTTTGATCAGAAATCCATTTTTTTCAGATTATGGACATGATACCAGAGATTTCCAAAATAAAAATGGTTCTTTATCCCCTAGAATAATTAATAGGTCAAACACAGTAATAATAGAGCAATAACTGGATAGAAAGAACCAGACAGACATGTTTCATTCATATTCTTCATCCATCCTTATGACAAGAACAGTTTCTACTTGTGGAATCAAATACTGTAGACAAAAAAAAACACAACTAAACGAAACAGGATACAATCTACAATCCTCCCGCCCTGAATATTTCCCTTCTGGCAGATGTTCAGCTGAACGAACTTCCCAAAGCGACTGGAGTTGTTGTTGTACACGGTCTTCGCGTTGCCGAAAGCTTCCATGATGGGGCTGAAAAGAAGTCAGGACAGCAGCCGTGTTAATGAGGACAGATCTAAAAAACAGCAAGGACAGTCCCCACAGACGTCAAAATACACAAGTGCAAGAAAAGTCTGAGATCAAAAGAACCAACGGTAATTATGTTCCTTTACAGAAGAGCCAGGTCTCCGAAGCACTCGCTGAAATGGGTTTATCAAGAACATCCACCTGAGGGAGAGCTCTCAGGGCTGGTTGTGCGAGCCCAGGATGTTTCACCGAGTGAAGGAGGCCAGGATGGCTCGTCCCTGCACAACTTAGCTTAGGCTGACTGGTATATACTCCAGCCAGGGTTTACACAGAAAAAGCTTCTAATTCTAGGAACTGGAAAAAGTCCGCCCTGAAAATTCTACCCATTGTTGTGTCTTGGGAGTAACTCATTTACTTCTTTGGGTCATCTCTAAGTGGTCAGGGATCAGCAAACCTTTTCTGTAAAGATCCACGGGGGTCTTCATTACAACTACCCAGCTCTGGCGCGATAGCGTGAAAGCAGCCAAAAATGAACCGTAGACAAATGAGTGTCTGGGTCCCAGTAAAATTTAATTTATAAAAACAGGCTGCAGGAGGAAGATGAAAAACATTCTGGAGCTGGATGGTGGAAATGGCTGCACAACCAGGTAAATGTACCTAATGCCGTACTTGGGAAAAGATTTCAGGTTAGAAGTTTTATGTTACGTGTATTTTATGACAATTTAAAAAATAAGTTTGGATGAAAAAAATAAATAAAAAGCACCAAAAACCAGCTGTAGGATCTGGACTAAGTTTGTAGACTCCTGGACTAATTTCTAAATAATCTTCTACATATATAAAAGGCTAATATGCAACATGTCCCCGGGGGAGTTTAGGAGACCGGGAGTTCTATCACTCACTATGATGTGCGCTGACCACCAGGGGGTGGTGTGGAACGAAGGAAGGCCCTGGCTGGCAGCTGGCAGCCACTAGGGACCCTATCCATGCATGAATTTTATGCACTGGGCCTCTAGTAGGATCTATAAAGTCTCTATAGGTTCTAAAATATTGTAAGGCACAAGCCAGATTCTGGGCAACTGCATATTTTAAAGAAAATTCCAGGTGATACCTCACCACACCACCCTCTTTCAAATCATGAGGCTCACTGCCATCAGATGGATCAGTGATTTTCTGCCGCATGAAGCTACAAATAAGCGACTTGCTCCCATGGCACTTCCAGAGGGCGGAATGCAGAACAGAGGCTCACTTGCCTCCGTACTGAGCCCCCTGTCCCTCAGTGGCTGGAGGCAGAAATTCCTGCTGATAGCAAGGCCTTCAAAAAGCCGGTCAAGGACTTTGGTAGAAAAGGAGGCCTCCCCAACTCAACCCTGGCCCAAGGATGGAAGGTCAGCTTCTGTTGCTTGGGTTACTAGAAACTGCTATGTGCATGTCAAGACCTTTCCTTGAGGAAAGAGAAGTCAAGAAAGAGAGGAAACAGACCCACTAGCTTTAACTCTTCCTTATAAAAGCCGTACCGTGAGGAAAGTGAATCCTATTTGCTGGAAACAAGAGAGGTGATGAAGAAATACCTGCTTTCAAGAATGGCTTGTTCAACACAGGACGTCTTCTCCTTCAAAGAGAGTTCCAAAGACTGTTGACTGATGACCGATAAAAACTTGAGGATCAACTTTGTGCTTTCGGTTTTACCTGCCCCGCTTTCACCACTGAAAGACAAAACGTGAAAGTTTGTGCTTCTAAGTATAATTTCTTTTACAAAAACCACCTTGGCCAATGTCACTACAACCCATCCACTGAACACCTGGTGAAAGGTGGTAAGAGAGAGCTCAAAATGCCTGTTTTAAGAGCTGAGTTGAATGAAAGGAGAAGTCCTTTGTCCCGCTGGCCTCAAATGGCATATGAAGTCAACAGAACTACCTTTGCTAAGATAAGGTAATGAGATGGATGGTGCCCTTCATGGGAGGGAAGGTCTACTAGCATATCCCAGACACCTCAACAGTGCCAGGCTGGTCGCAGGCACTGGGTAAGACATTGTTAAATGAGTAAGCACATTATCAGCATGTTTCTGGGGGCATTTCAAGCAGGGAAATGTGCATAGAAATGCAATCAGTCATAAATATTATCGAGGGGATGAAGAATGAACCCTCAGGTACTTGACCCACACTAAGTCATTCTATTCCCATAATTGTCCTAAGAGGGAGGCAGCAGCTAAGCTTAGTCAGAACTTAACGCCAGATCCGTCTGAGTCCAAAGTCCTGGAGAGGCCCTGCTTTAATGCCAGTTAAGGAAAAGGGACAAAGCAATGCAGAGGGGTGGGGGGTGGGTATGGGGAGGCTGGCAATGGGAGAACTGAGTAAGGTACAAGTTGTGCCTTAAAGGACTGGCAAACACCAGCCAGGCAAAGAGGAATGGGGAAGGACTGGGTTTAGACAACAATGTGAAGAGCACAGAAGTCAGATGAGCTTGGAAAGATCTACAAGGGAGTGCGATTCTGGTTAGGTCAGCAGGACTGAGGAGAGGCGGTGGAGAGAGGGGGCCAAGGGATCGAGTTTGACCATTCAGAGGCACCTGCATGAGACAGAAGGCAAAGACAGCTCATCAGAGTTGCTCTGGAGTTAATGCTCCAGGAGAGAGGGTCCCTCAGGGATCTTGATCTGTTGCCATAACCCAGGTGTGTGGCGGTAGGTCCTGGACAAGTCCAACTGACTGGATACAGAAAGGAAAGTATGGAGATGGAAGGGATTTGAAAGAAAAACTTAATTTTGTGTAAGGCACTGTGCTTGGTGCAGCGGGAAGAGCAGAAGTGGTAAAAAGGCAGAGAACTTACAAAAAAGGTAAACCCAGGACATGAATAACAGTACAGCAGTGCCACCAGTATCACAAGGCAGCATGTTGATAATCACTCGATGGGTGATATAACGGATGAGCTCCATGTACGTTGTGAAGAAGTGCTCTCTGAGCACCAAAATCCAGGAAGTTATCACAAGAGGAATGTTGCTGAACACCTGGTGAATGATTAAGCACGTGTAGTAAAGGAGAGGAAATGACTCAGAAATGACGCGTCTGTGCCCTGCTGGGTGCCACAGGCCCATGGGGAATCTCCACTGGTCCAGGCCAGTTGCAGGCATTCCATTCCCTTTGCAAGCTGACCAGGACAGCTGCCAGCATTTCAGCCGAAGAGGCTTAAAGTGCAGTGTGCTGAGGGCTCCTGGGGAGGGCTGCACGCACACCAAAGAGAACAGCAGAAAGGCCCTCCCACCCTCTGCTTGCTGCAGACAAGAACCTGGGAATCCACACTGATCTGGAGAAAGTGGAAGCCAGAGGGAGTGGCTGAATCCACAGCCCTGAAACTGCCCTGTCTTGTCTAGTCTGAGATAATAAAAGCCATGCAGCCAAGCCAACTGTGGTTAAGCTTTCTGTTATCAGCAACCAGAATCTCCCCAGCATGGGACTTAGCATTCGTCTTCCCATAGCTGGCACCTGCCCAGCCCTGGGGCTGGCAGACCCGAGGCATTCCGCAAGGATGCACCAAATGAACAACACAGAACCCAAGAGAAAGTTACAAGAAGAGATTTAAATAATTTTTGACAGTAAAACATACACTCACCTATCTAGTGGTTGTTGATGATTAAATTATGTTAAAACAAACAAAACTCAAAGGCATAAGTTCTCTAGGTAAAACATGTGAGGCAGAAATAACGTTACGTGTTCCCCAATCCCACTCTCCATGCTCCAGCACCCAGAGGTAGACAACATTTGCACCTCCCTTGGTTAGGAAAGCAATCGGTAACAAGGACCGAGTTTGGCCAACCGAACAACAGAGCAAGAGGGACATGTGCTGCTCCCATGTCTGGTGGCTAACACCCCCTCATGGTCCTCTGGACTCTACCTGCCACTCCTGCCACCCAGGTGCCCTCAGCGATAACACATCTCCAAGACAAAGTAACACGGAGTAACGTTGAGCTTCTCAGCTTCCCACGTAGGAATGGGAGATGAGCAAGAAATACACGTGCTCATGTTACACCCCTGAGATCGGGGGCTGTTTGTACAGCAATCAGCCTACCCTGACGAACACAGCACAACAAAAATACAATCTCGGAGAAGATATCCTTCAAACTGGACAGCAAAGACTTGGCAGAGAAGACAACTCAGGATGCTCACTGCTGTTAACCAGTCACCAACATCGACCTACATCAATCTTCAGCCCCCTTTTTTCACATTGGACCACATTTTCTGCAAGCGTCTCCTTTAAGAACACCTGTTTGGATAGATTAAATGCGGAAGAAAAATAAAGCTGAGGTTCACACCATGCTCTGCAGGCTCTCCACCTTGGCTGCACACTAGGTTCACCCGTATGCGCCCAATCCTATAGGGGAGAACTCACTCATCCCTATTTTAAAAAGCTTTCCAGATGATTCTACTATGAAGCCATGTTTGGGATCTACGATTCACATAATTCCGATAGGACTGCACTGGGAGATGAGAACTGGTGGCTACTGTCAACAGGACTGTGGACAGGACATAAACCAGGCAGTGAATAAAAATAAACAACTGACAAGTCGTTAAAACCCAGACACATGCCGGATGGCTGCCGACACAAATGTCCAGTCGGCAGGACTCACTCTAAACCTCCTCTCCACCTCCCATCCCGCCTGGGACTTCACCATTCCCAATGAAGGCAAATTATTGAGGGCCAAACCAACACATCTTTGAAACCATGGAAGAGCACCCCTGCATGCCTATTCACATGCCTTTTATGCCCTACAGACTGGGCCACAGTCATAAGCCAAACGTCCACAGACACTATTTGTCTATGATCTCAGAGCAGAAACACAAATGATGATGGTTAATACTGTCAAATAGAAATCTTAGATGGGAGAAGTCATTTAGATGGAGGGTAAAGTTTCCGTAAAGACCTCTCTGGGAAAATGCAAAAATGCTCTGGGATTAACTGGATGAAAATGAAGAGAGGGAATGGGAAGGTGAGAGGAGGGGTCAGGATTTCAGCCAATGGGAAAATACAACACCAAAAAAAAAAAAAAAGCCAAATTAACAAGACTAATGGGACCCTCTGGTTCATTACATTTTGCTCACTTTGCACCCTGACTGCCCTACTGCTTCGGTTTCAGCCTGCGGAGGCTTTTCTACCACGGGCAGGTTGTGACTCACTTATTCCACCCCTCCCTTATTCCAGCCACGTAAAACAGTAACTCCTGCAGCAATTACGATGTTATTTCACCTTCGCTTGGAGCAAACATATCACTTACATCTCCAGTCCTACTCTCTTCTCCTCAGCCTAGGGCAATTTGAGTCCTAACCCGTGACGCCAACCCAATTGCAAACACAAACATGCGCTTCGGCGAAAACACGTTCACCCAGATGAATCCAAGTGAGCTTATACTTTATAAAGATAAGAGTGAAAATGAAAAAAAAAAAGACACACAAAAACAAAAAATGATAACCCCGAGTACTGACGTGGGCCTTGCAGGCCGTATCAAATGTTTTGAGAATTTTATCACTGGCAGAATGGAAAGTCACAAGACCGGTGTTTTAAGCAGGAGAAGGTCATGATCAGGTTCAAGGTTTTAAAGAATCACTGCGTAGAGTCTGGAAAAGGGATGGAGGGAGCAAGGGAGGAAGTGGGAAACAAGATGTGAGAACAGATGAGAAGTGAGAGGCCCAGGACTGCGGAGGGAGAAAGGAAGAAGGGCTGGGGGCCCCGGTCAGGAGGGCTGGTTGTAAGTGACAGGGAGCGTGGGAATGACTCCTGAGAGCCGGGAGCTTGCTAGCATAGCCTGGGCGTCGGTGACACAGGTGTGCACATCTGTCAGTACTCATCAAAGTGTGCATGCAAGAGCACCACGCGCTGCTATAGGTCATCTTACTTTCTAGATCCAAGAACGACGTCTTGATCTCAGGCGTGGGATCTCCAGAAAGGAAAGTCCACTTGCTGAGAATGCAAAGCATGAGAGGAGAAACAGGCTTCTGGGAGAAAATGAGGATGGATGTGGGACATGCCACCTGAGAGGCCTGTGCAACATCTGTGATGACACCTCAGGGGCACGTGGACGTATGTCTGGAGCTCAGAGGAGAAACTGGCGCGGGAGGTGTTTCAGGCTGCGGGTCATGAAGACCTGAGAGGAAAGGCAGGCGTTGGAAGAGGAGAAGGTGGAACATGACTGAGGGGAGGTGTGCCCACTGAGCAAGGAAGGAGCCCCATGGAGGAGATGGGGGAACATGTGGTGTAACGGCTGTGGAACCAAAGGTGCATGTATTTTTTTTTTTAATGGAACACACTAGAAATTTTTGGGTGATGATGCCAAACAGCCAAAGCATCAGGACAGGCAGACTTCAGAGATGGAGCGAAGTCCGCAGGGGAGCAGGGGAGGGATCCCGACCACACAGGAAGGAAAGGGCCTCTGCCACAAATGGGGCCCTTTAGCCACCCCAAGACCAGTGCAGGTGTGTCCGAAAACTGTGGCCCCCAAATCTACTCAGCTGCCCATTTTTGTAAATAAAGTTTTATCAGAACACAGCCCGGCTGTTCATTTGTGGACTGTCTATAAACACTTTCACACTTCAAGGGCAAAGGTGAGCAGTTGGAACAGAGAGTCTCACCCACAAAGCCTGAAATATGTACACCCTGGCCCTTTGCTGACATCCAAAAACATCTCCACCCTGTCAATCAAATCCCTTCACTTCACATGATTTCCTCAAAGTGTACATCCACCCACCACTCCCTTGCTTGTGGAAGACCAGGAAGACTTCTGCACCGCCTACAGGATTCAGCCCAAAGATCTTAGCAAGCAGGACAAAATCCTTAAAAGTTCGACTCTGTACCAGGAATTAGGATTCTGATCTGAAACAAACACTGGGAAACTCAAGTTCAAATTCTGTGTCTGTTGTTCATAGCTGGTCTCTTTAGCAAGTTATTCAAAATCTGAGCCTCAGCTTCCCCAAATGCCCCGGCTTTTCTGAGGATTACACACAAGCCTGTCTTCTCAACAAGTATCAGTTCTCTCCCGTCGTCTTTCCCCAGCTCCTTCATGCCCCTTAGCAAACCCCACAGCCTTATAGGCATATACCTTCCACTTCCCAAGTGTCCTTGTTTGACCAAATATCTCTGTTTTTACAAACTCTTCTGTGCCCTTCCTCCCCTCTCTGCTGGCTGTATAACCTGGTCACATGTCACCTTCTCTGTGAAATGCTCTCTCGGCACCTTCACTGAGCAGCCATGTAGTACTTCTATTACAGCATTTGGCAGGCTGCATGGAAATTATTTACACCGGTTTCTTCCCGTCAGAGTAGAGGTTCCTGAAGGGCTGTGATTGGGTATTCTTCTTTTTAAATCCCCAAAGCCTAGCACAGGACCCTGAGGTATGACATGAGCATGAGGCACGCCCAGCACCTTATTCTGGTTGGTACCCTTCTGGTCCAGGGTACAAGTTTTGTTCAGTGTTCCAATTCAGTCACTTCTAAATATATTACGAGAAAGAGAAAAATACCACACACCCAATTATCATTCCAGAATCTAAACGGCAGTTAAGAAGAAAGTGCTTTGGTTTTGGAAAACCAAAATATGCAAAGGATGCAGAGGCCCTAAACCAACAGCTGTTCCTTCTGTCCATCCTTTGATTGACAGCTGTTGAAGGCGGGCCCTCTGCCAGACGCTGTCCTGGGCAAAGGTGAATCAGCCACAGGACTTGACTACACTATGCCTCTTAAAAGGTCACGTATACTGAAAAGACCATCATCAACTAAACTCTGCCTGCCCAACACAACGTATGAAAAACTGAAGTCAACGCAGAATGTAGTAGGTCAACCAAGATCAAATGCTGACCTGGTCTGTTAGATGAAAAAAGAATTCTCAAGTAAGTTCTAAACTTATGTACTTAAAACGATCATAGCGTGAGCACTCTTCATTTAAATGTGGAGAAAAAGTGAAAACTATGCTTAACCAAGAGAGGTAAATGACCTTGAAAGTAAGACCAACAAAAGGGGCTTGAACCAGAAGCTGAGAGACATGGCACTGACACCAACCAGACCTTGGCCAAGTAATGAGGGCTCAGAAAGTGAGAGAAAAATTGATGTAGGAAGTTCTATCTAGTTCTAAATAGGCTTATGTAGCAGCCACCAGGGGGCAGACTATGCCTGAGGAAATGTAAATAGGGCTCCAATATCCTGCTATTTTTATTTTTATCCTCAATTTTCTCTTCATTCCAATAGCCCCAGCCCTCACTTAAAAAAAAATGTTAGATCTATTAAAAGCCAAAATACATTTTAATGAGAAATCTATTTTGAAAGACTGTTTCCTGAGTTAATTTAGAGAAATACAGTTAGTTTTTTTTTCACATCAGCATGATACAATGGGAGCTTTCTGTTAGGGATCCACTCCCCCTCAATCCCTTTCCCCCACTCCCTCCACCTGACTTTTAAAGACCACAGTCTTTGGCATGAAAATGCCAACCCTTTTCCGTTTTATTGCATGCATATACACACACACAAATGCACAATGATCTCATTTGATTTTTCACTTTTTTCCTAAGCTGCTCTGTCTAGCAAGTGATATATTAGTCATGCTCTCGTTTTTGTTTTGGTTTTTTGCCCCACTTAAAGTAATAAGCACAAGCCATTATCAACGGCAAATATTCAGGTACCTAAGTGTGGAAAACAATTCGATCTTCTTAAAATAGATTAAGTTCTCTTTCTTTCTGTTAATCTTATTAAATTAGATTCTGTAAGCTAAAATAGTGACCTCAAACCCTAACTTCTGAACTTTAGTGAAGTCATCTGAAAGAATCCAGAAATAGTGCTTCTAGTCATAAAGCAGGCCACTTTATTGGGAATGTGACTCTTAAAAGCTCTGTTTTTATATGAAGCAAGTAGCTTTATTTTCATTAACTGCAAGTTATAACCCGTCATATTAGCTTAACTGAATTGATATTCCCTCTATCCGAGTGGATTCCACAGCCCAGCACATTAGCACCAGTAAGGTGATGGAGAAAAAGAATATCAACCCTTAAAAAGCAGAGGGGGGGGGGGGGGGATGAGAAAGGCACTGTTTTGTTGTTCATATTCATATCATGCCCATTTGTTACAAAAGCAAGGAGCCAAGAACTAGAGTTATGGGTAAAAACTGTCAGTGAGAAGAACACACCCTTGACAGTAGTTTTCCGTGTGTACAGATCACACTGAACACCCACATCAAAGGGCTGTTGGCAGGTTTCGATGAGCTGGTGCCTGGAAAGCTCTTGGCACAGCATCCAATACACTTAATCCTTCAGAAAAGGACAGCTGTCATTTCTTAGCCATTTTCACTCAGGAACCACACAGGGTGGGGTGAGCACCTCGAAAAGATCCTTGGCTAGAGGCTCCTCCATTTCCCTTCCCTGAGGTTTCCATGAAGGGCCTGCTCTAGCATGTCTGCCCCCTCCAAACCCCACCCCACCCTTCCACCCCATCCCCCACAGGACCAGGAGCGCTGAAGGCTGGCCTGCTTCTCGCCATCTGGAACTGGTTTCCCACAGGAACTGCGGCCACCAGTTACCTGCCTGGACTCTGACCAGGTGGGCTGTCTTGTCTAATCTGGGGCTGCAATGTTAGCGATCCTGATCGGCTGGAAGTCTACAGCGGCCATATGGCTGTCCATCTGTCTCCTGTGCCTGACTCCCACTGAAACAGAAATTCGGCGGGTAGGTGGGATCTTATTTGTTATCCTCCCCAAATGCAAACTCCCCTTTCCTCTTAAAATAATAGAATTATTTTGCCACAGGTTGGGACTAAAAAGCCATCTAAAACAGATGTCAAAAGAATCTTTCACTCCGGCAGTTCTGTTTATACACCACTGGTTCCCAGTAACAGCCACGCTCCATGAGTGAACGTCTGGAGGACAAATGAATGAAATACATTTGGGACTCCATGGAAACCCCACTGAAAGTGGCACGCAGCTCTGCATGGACTCCATGGGAACCCCGCTGAAAGTGACATGCAGCTCGTCCTCCTTGGACACGTCCCAGGGGTGTGCTGATCGTCACCAGAACAGGAGTCCCATATAAACAATTAATAAGAAGGTCCAGTAAAGATGTCACTAGAATATAGGTGATGAGCCATTTTGAATTAGTTAATAAAAACGAAGAAGTGCTTTTTTTAAGAGACAGGTTTTACTTCTTTTTAGATAGTTCCTAGTAATAAAGGTTTTGACATTGGGGTTTCTGGTGGTTTATTTCAATCAATGAGGAAGACTGAGCTGAAAGAGATATGTCAAGACCCTACCTCCTCGAAAAAAATTAAATCCAATAATCACGCTCTCCTATCATTTCCTAAACATATAACAGCAGTCCCTTTTCTATCGCCAATTCAGAGGTACGCGTTAGGAGTGTCCAGTTAAAACCACTAAAAAGTCTTCAGTTTGGGAGATTTCCTTTAGGGCGATCACACTGTATGAGGAAAAAGAGGCTTGCTCAAGCATGCAACATGCTGCCTAGCACTCTGGAATATCAACCCTGCTCATCTAAAGAACTATACAACACTTCCTTACGTCCGCAGGAAGCTCAGGCCTCACCGCCAGAATAAACTGAAGAAGAATTCAGGCAAATTTCCAAAAAGAAACAAATGGAGTAATTGCTCTAAAGTGCGTGCCTCGTGTCTGCTGGAAGCTGTAGGTACCAGCCATCCCAAACGGAAAGCTTCACTGAGACATCAGGCGCTTATGAGCTTCTCATGAACGTGCTCCGCGGGGACGGGTGGGGGCCCGGCTTGGAAAGCGCTGCGGGCGGAGACCCCTGGTTACCTGATGAGGACGCACTGGTTGTCGTGGCGCTTCCACAGGCAGCGGTAGCACTCGTTGGCCACGGCGAAGACGTGCGGGGGCAGCTCCCCCAGGTGGCTCTTGCTGTAGCGCTCCATGGTGGCGCGCTCGTACAGGCCGGCGATGGGCTTGTAGGGGTTCAGGGAGGCGATGATGGAGCCGATGTAGGTCTGCAAGGACAGGGACACAGTTACACACAGCCCCGGGGGGGTGAGGGCTGGCACCACCACCCCTGCTGGGGCTGGGCCAGAGGGCATCTGCATGCAGCTCTATGCCAAACCATGCGGAGAAGGGGGCTGCCACATGTCAGGGAACCCACTGAGTGTCCCTTAGGGGAAAGGTCATGTGTGCTCCCCACTGCATTTGTTTTTCCAGTAACTTTTGGTACAAAATCTAGTCATTCTGTACAAACAAATGCAGCCGTTTCTAAGACGACTTGCTATGGAAGGAACACAAGAGAAAGATGTTAAACCAGCCCAGGCCCAAATCCCTGTCCCCGTGCCCTCCTAACCCTGTCCTCGTCATGACCCTGCCCTCTCAGGTGGCTGCTATGAATGCAGGGTTGAAGAAAGAACGAGAGAGGCAGAGGGGTTGGGGGAGGAGGGATGGAGAGTTACAGTTTAATGGGTACAGAGTTTCTGTTTGGGATGATGAGAACATTCTAGAAGTAGATAGTGGTTAGGGTTGCATAACATTTCAAATGCATTTTTAAAAATTTTTTAAATTACAGTTGACATACAATATTATGCTAGCTTAAGATGTACAACCCCATGATTAGACATTTATATAACTTACAAAGATCACCCCTATAATGCAAATGTATTTAAGGCACTGAACTGTATACTTAAAATAATCAAAATGGTAAATTTGATGGTATGTGTATTGAACCTCAATGTGTAAAAAGTAACAAGACCGTTTGAAAATCCTAGGTAATCAGTAATCTCAATGGCTCCTGAGTTCCTGTCACTCATCTGGAACTGAGCAGACGGACAGGCGGACCTTTCTGGAACCAAAGCCAGGCCAGACATTAAGCTAAATCTTCAGAGCAGCCAAGAGAGGCCACTGAGCTATAAACCGGGACACCTCATGCCCCCTCCGTATGGACATAAGCATTCGCTTGCACTTCTGCAAATGCTACCGAAGTGTGGTTGTCTGGGGCTGAACTGTGCCCCCCCATTCATATGTTTGAAGCCCTAAATCCCCACCATACTGTATATAGAAACACAGCCTTTAAAGAGATGTTGAAGTTAACCATTAGGGTAGGCACTAATCCAATCTGACTGGTATTCTTGCAAGAAAAGAGATTTGGATACACAGAGAGGCACCAGGAATGTGTGTGCACAGATAAAGGCCAGAGGAGGACACAGCAAGCTGAGGAGAGAGCCCTGGGAAGTAATCAACCCCACCAGATACCTCGATCTTGGACTTCTAGCCTCCAGAACTGTGAGAATATCAACTTCTGTTGTTTAAGCCACCACGTCAGTTATATTTCTTTACGGCAGCCAGAGCAGACTCATACAGAGGGCCTGACCCCTTTCACATTCACAATAACCCTGGGAAGTTCAATGTATTACTATCCCTATTTTTCCAATGAGGAAACTGAGGCATGGAGAGAAAATTCCATGGACAGTCACACAGCCAGTAAGTGGCAGAGGTGAGATCTGAACCCTGGCAACCTAATGCAGAGCCCTCTCTCATTCACCGGCAAGGCTGGGCAACGCAGCAGAGCAGGAGGAACGCAGGAAACACTAGACAGAAAGCAGGAAACATCCAAACAGCATCTGTACTGTATTACAGCAATTTGTAATCATTTCTATTCATGGTGACTGCCAGGAACATCAAGCAAAGGATCTACGTTCCATATAACTGTTCTCAAATGGAAGGGGGTCTGTAATGTGTTTTGGAAATATATTGAACCGAAAAAGGTTAAAAACATAAAAGGGATATTACCATATGACCCAATGATTCCTCTCCTAGGTATATGCCCAAGAGGATTAAAAACAGGTACTTTAATAAAGACACAGCAGCATTATTCATGATCGCCTAAACGTGGACACAACCCAAATGTCAATCATCAGAGAGATGGGTAAACAAGATGTGGAATATCCATACAATGGAATATTCACCACAAAAAGACCGAAGTACTTGCTACCTGATACCTGCTGCCATGCAGATAAGCCTTGAAAACACTGTCCAATTAAAGAAGCCAGACACACAAGTTCACAAATCCAGAAGTAACAAGATGCATCATGTTCCTTAACCTTCATAAAAAGTGTTAGAGTACACATCTTCAGATGTCAACCCAAACTGAGAAACCAGCATGCTCTGGTGACAATCACAGTCCGGTTAGTAAGGGAGAGAACAGAGGCATTTAGATTTTCAGGGATGGAATGGTCTCTTTCGAGTTCAAATAATAAATATGCGTGCTGTGGTTGACAGTAAATTCAACAAATGGACTCCCATGTACCATAGCAAACAGCATGTACCCGACAGCAACAACAGACTATGAACCAAATGCAATGATCTGAAATCTCCTCTTATAAAAAAGGAAAGAAAGCGAAGAATGTGTTAAATGTGTCTGGCTGGTATGGAGAGAACCCGATTTTTGATTTTTTTAAGATTATAGAAAACGTTGCCTCATTTAGAGTTAAAAAGGTCTCTCCACTGCAAGAAACTCCATTTAGTACCAGAGTAAATTAGGCTCTTAAAAAATGAAGGCTCAAGGTTTACAATTTCACCTTCTCGCTAATGACCTAAGTCATTTCTCAAAAGGCTTGTCACGGATTTTAAATGACAATTAAGTCTACATGTTTCCAAAAAACTTTACCTGACATTTATAAACGTGGGGCACAGAGGACGATACTGTGTCATGACATCATCATAAGTCCTCATTTGCTCCTGGAGGAGTGGGCAGGACAGAGGCGCTGTTCCACCTCCTCTGTCAGGTGACAAATGGGCAGAAGGTGGTAAGCACTGCCCTGCAGTCACAGTGCCAGCGACTGCTGTCACACTGCGGGTCTGCGTGACCCCCTTCACCACCCACCCACATACAGAATGGGAATCACCCCAGATGCTGCCAGTCTCATCGTCAGTGGCCAAAGTCTCCACGTCCTGTAAGCTTCGTGTTCAGTAAACTCTAGAACATTTCCCTTTCCCTCCCTCTCCGCCGCCCTGACCTCACTTGCTCAGATTTCCATAAATGCCTCCTTCCTCGCTGATGTCCCACGTGGCCCTGTATGCTCAATCCAAGCTCCACACTTGACAAAGAACATCTGAAGACGAAACTCTCCTGCTTAAAACTCTTCATCCTCCCATGATTCTCAGGGTCAACCACAGGAATATTCGAGAAGGGAGTCTGAGTGGCTCCAACAAGGTGATAGGACACCCCATGTCCTACTCTGTTATTGTCATTGCAGTTACAGGGGAGGGGGGCCTTTAGTTTCCTGAGGGTCTTTAAGGACTCATTGAGTTTGTATTGCTTGTGCCCATCTGCACACCAAACAGCACCTATGAACCTCCCTAAACACAAGTGTAAAGTAACATGGCAATAATAGCAATAGTTCCTAATCCTTTATCCAAAGAAAGACATTGTGTGAAATCTCAGAGGTCCATCAGCAACAATAATCACTGCCCACGACAAGACATCTTATTTTCCCCACTACCTTAAATATACCACGTTGCATGAGTGACTTTGTCACTAAATAAAGAACAGATTCATTGAATAAGTAAAGTTCAACAGCTAACAAAAAGTAAAAATGGCGACTGGGGAATGGAAGGGCAGGAGAAGGGCCCAGCAGAAAATTAAGTACCAAGGGAAGCAACGAGAAAATGTAGTACAAAACTCTGAGAGCTATGAGGCGACGTTTGTTGCTTGTACCATTTATCACTCTATAAAAATGTATTATTACTGCTCTAAAAAGGGCCTTGATAATATCCGGTAATTAAGATTCTAGGCACATGCAACATGAGGTGGGACCAAGTACGGGTGCCCTCCTACTAGAATCCGAATTCCGCACAAACCAATAGCCTGGTCCTTCTAACGGCTTTCCAGAAATAGAAAGTACATTCTATTTTGAAACACATAAAACTTTTTTTCTACTCAGACTCAGAAAAGTTCCACATAACTCACCAAAAAACACAAATCCTTGCCCATTTTAATAATCTGGAACAGCTGGGGCACACATTGCTTCAAACTGTTGGGAGGAACTCACTATATTTCTTCAAGCTGACATCTACCAATTCAAGGCTTTCAAAAGACATAATAAGGGTATAATACTTGCTCGCCAACCCTAGACACACACACACACACACACACACACACACACACACACACACACACACACATATCAACTACAACTAAGAAAGCAAAGTGCCCGGAGCCTCAGCCGCAGAGCTGTATGGAGACAGGGAGCAGTCCTGCTACTGTTGGGAAGTGGCTTCTCCAACACAGGAGCCAATGACTGGACGGCAAGGTGTGGCCAAGTCAGAAGCTGGAAGTCCTCAGCCTGGGGCTGCCTCCCCTGGGACACCCCTCCGGGCCAAAGATTCTGATCAGTAATAACAACACATCCCCTGTCATCCCACACGATTGCTCCATAAAACGGTGACATAAATCGAAGTTATCTATGATTGTTCCTGTTAATGAAAATAAAACCACAACTGCTTTTCGTGATGTGGTCCCGAGAGCTGGATGCAGACCAAGTCATGTGAAAGCAGTAGGGACACTGGCTAAGTCAGTGCATGGCACACTTTCCAAAGGGAAGAATTGCTAAGAAGCGCAGTCGTTAGCTACTCACCATTCTCCTCTTTCCTTCTCTCTCCATCATCTCGGTTAAACATGGCAATGAATTACTCCTGGAATGTTTATCCAGAATTCAGCTTCTGTTTTAAATGACAGGTCTGTCTACTCGATGGCCCACTGGACATCTTCACTCAGATGCCCCTGAGCTCACACGTAACAAGGACACGGCTGATCTCCCCCAAACACCTGTTTTTTCATGGTCACCTCATGCATGACAAATATCACCAGAATGGTTAACCTAGAAATCTAGGTATCATCCTGCAGAAACTCAGCCTGCCTGCCCCCCAGACTCAATCACTTAAGATTCTACCTCTCGGTATCTTCTGAATTCAAAGTTCTCCCAGGATTGGGTCAGGACCCCATAGTTTC